GCAAATACAAATTCAATCACCCTACAGTCATTGTGTGTTGCAACAGATTGCCCACATAGACCTCACTGCCAGAAACACTGAACATTGTAAGTTATTTTGCCTAAATAACATAACACAAAATAAGAGTTACCGACACAAGCCACTTAAATGGCAATCCTGAGGGGCCTGAGGGTTAAGCAAGACATTTTATTTAAGAAACTTGAACCCCAGAAACCCAAAGTATGATGGATACAGTACTTAACTTTGTCATTCAAGCCCTGCTTGGGCTCATCTAACCACCTAACCATTTGTTAGCATCATTCCAAAATTGTTAGCTCATTAAATTAAGGTCCTTTTAAACAAGCAACACCATTGTTCAGTTCTTAGTTTAATAAAGACAATTCGTTTAGTTAGGATTTTAATTAAGTTTCTAATTTGCATTCTTATTTAAGTTTGCAATAAACCAATGACGCAAAGCTAGTTTTTCCCTTTTCCAAACTGCAACATGGGTCACCACCAAGTTGCCAGAGGTAAATCTCAGGCAATACATTTGCAAGCCATCTGGCTCTGCAAATTTGGTGTATTAGCATAGCAGTTGTATGATGGCTAGTTCCAGAGCAGTAATCACAGTCACTTCCTTGTCCTAGTGACTGTTTCAGGCACAAGCAACCTTGTGCACTTATTTGTACTTTAAATACAAAGCTATCTTCAGCTGGTGTACAAGTGCTGATCTAGACCTATCCCAGCACCCTGACATTGTCTGGGCAGTCACATGGCAGCTGAAATGCACTACAGCTCTAAGCAGCTCCTTTTGAGTTGAGCTGAACTGATCTGTCCTCAATCATCCAAGGATCATTACAGGATAGCAGCCAGTGAGAACTGGACATTGGACAGGGCAGCCAAAAGCACCAGGCCATCGTGTGAGCTCTAAGAAGCAGGTGGGTCTATTTCCTGGGTCCCAGGCCAGTAACCAGCCTTCTAAACCTTGCAGTGGAGGGAGTCTGTCTTGAACTGGGGTGCAGGATCACTTTAGGGAAGCATGCTGGGACAGGCTGTTTTTCTAAACTGCCTTATGGGCAACTACCGGATTTTGCCCAATTTCTTCTTCCTCCTCCATGGGAAGAGCCCCAAGTCCTTCTTAGGAGGGGTGACACACTGCATATGTGAGTAGGTTCATTTCTTCTGCCCCAAAGGGCTCCTTGAAGGCACAGAGGGTGAACACCCCAGCTACAGTTAGTTCAGTGAGCTCGGTCATCAGGCATCATAGTATTACTGGCTTCCCAAAAGCATCAAGAATGGGCACTAGAAATGGATCCAAGGAGGATGAAGGAGGCAGATGGCCCAATCACCTTGACAACAAACTGCTCCCAGGGCTGGGGATAAGGGGTAGGGTAGGGTAAAGTGCCAGGAGAGGCCAGAAATGGAGTGATGCAATAGTATGAACCATAGCTGCTGAGAGAGAGAACAGGAGGCTTTCAGGGTATCTTTTAGAAGAAATTTAGTGTCTACAGCACTGATTCTCAGTCAGGGTGTCATGGCACCTTGGGGTGTCTTAAGATCCTTTCAAGGGTGCCGCAAGGTGCCACACAAACATGATTTACAAGACAAATTCAGAGATTTCAAATAGAAATCCTTAGTTGTTGTCTTTCTGAGTTCTGTAACAGAAAACAATTCTCTATTGTTTTTCTGTACCCAAAAAAGAGCAAACATTAAGAGCTATCATTTTCCAATGGGTGGCTCCAGTCTATCCAGTGGTGCTTTGAGACTAAAAAAAGCTGAGAACCACTGGTCTACAGGGACCAGAGGCTGAAGCCTGAAAGCCTCCAAAAGAAAAACACTGTAGAAAAATACTCAGGAGTGCTGGGGGGGGATGGCAAGTGTGACAGTATAAGAACAGGCAGCAGGTTAAGGCTCTCGAACTTGCTGGTATATTTGAAAAGCCACATCTGCTCTAGCTAAGCTTTAAAACTAAACACAAACTGGCATGGAACAGCAGTCAAATGCCAAGCCTGTGACAAGTGGGCCAAGAGCTACCTCACTCTGGCAGCCATAGGCTGCTCTGCCAAGGAAGGTACATCCTTATTTCTCCTGGGTTAGAGATAGGGAAATCAAGGCAAAGAGAAATGAAATGATTTGGCTCAAGGTCACAAAGCAGATCAGCTGCAAACAGGATTCTGGTACTCATCCAGGGACCCCACCCACCAGAACACTACAAACCAAGGGGACAACATGGTGGAGAGGAGCCAAGGCTGGCCCAGAGGGATGGGACTATGCCAATGCCAGCAACATGTTTTGATACTTTGCAGATTAATTGGGTTGTGCATACAAGCTTGGAGCACGTCTATAAATGCCCCAGAAGTTGGAGGGGGTGGAGGGGCACTTTAATTTGAGCAGCTCCAAGAGCCACTAATTAAAGCGCCCAGTGTCATGTGCATCAGTTTCCCTGTGCTGAAAAATGGCGGCGGGGCACTTCAAGTAAAGCCTGTAGAACCAGCTTTAATTAAAGTGCCTCTGCCGCCATTTTTCAGTGTGGGGACACTGATACACATGACATTGGAATCTAAAGAAGCACGGTAATTACCACGCTCCAGCAGACTTGATTCATTGAGTCTGCTCTGAGATGCTGTAATTACAGCGTGTTGCAGCAGCCTCCGTGCATGTGTATAGGTGCCCTTGGATACCACAGTAGATAGGTGCTTGTCTTCCCTGAAAGGATAAACTTTAATTTCTACTTTAAGGCTCATACATGCCACTGTAGCTAACAAGGAGTCCACTCATGATCCAGAAGAACCCCCTTAATGGCTTGAGGTGTTAGAGGAAACCTCAAAAAGGGAGAGCAGCAAGCTGTCCTCCACCCCCTGTTCTCATTGTCATCAAGAGAGCATGTCACAATCCCTGTAGTGCTGGCTTGCTAGATGACAGGTGGCCTGGTAGCTTTTGGGAGCTGCATTCTCCTCACACAGGCTGCAAGCATCCCTCACAGATAAGGAGAAGGTGAGTTTGAATCTACCTGGGCGATTCCAATTTCAGGCAGTATCTTACCACATCCCCCTTCCTTCAATCCCCGCGCTGAGCCGAGTGGCAGAGCATGCAGGGCAGCAGAGTGGAGGCAGTGACTAATGTCTCTGTCAGAAAGAAGTGACGCCTCATCTGCCAGCCACTGACACAGTCAGACCCGCCTCACAGCAAGTGACACTGGTGCTCCGCAGAGAAGAGGGAAGAAGATCATTGCAAGAGCCACTGACATTAAATTAGTGCAACTTCCCTGTGCAGATGAGATCAGAAACAGTCTAGTTCAGGGGTGGGCAATTTATTTGGGCCAGACGCCACTTAGGGAGTTCTGGTAAGCTGTCGCAGGCCAGGTCAGCACCCCCCACCCACAACAGCTCAGCAAAACTCCCTAAGTGGTTTGGCCCTGAACTCAGCCAGGGGGGTGGGGAGCAGCATCCAGGAGCGGGATGGTCCAGGACCGGGGCTGGAATCAGGAGCTGGTGGCAGCATGGGGCCAGGGTCTGGGACAAAGCCCCGATCCACTCCTGGAATGCTCCTGCCTGTACCCATTGCAGGGATGTGCAGGGAATGGATCATGGCTCTGCCCTGGGCCCTGGCCCTGCACTGTCATTGCCCTGTGATCCCAAGCTTGGCCCTGGCCCCACCTGCCTGTCCTACTCCTGGATGCCACTCCCTGCCTGCCCATGGACCCATCTCATCTGCCAACTGAACGCACCTTGCCCACATGGGTCTCAGGCCAGTCTCCTTGGAGACCCCACCCACCCGCTCTGTCTGGCACCCTTAGCAGTGGGAGTGGGGCGGATGGGCCAGGGTGCCTGCAGTGTGGCCAGGTCCAGTGGCAGAGACCAGCAGCGGCAGCTGGAAGGACCCGATGCTACAGGGGTTCTGGGAAGCGAGTCTGGCCTCTGTGCTGCCCCACCCCACTGCATGCCTGAGGGAAGTGGGATCAGCTGTATGTGCCACAGCCCTTGTGCTGCCCCCTGCATCTAGGCCGGGTGAGACCAAGGGACCTGCTGCAGGCCAGATAAAATCCCTTGGCGGGCCAGATCCAGCCAGCAGGCTGTATTTTGTCCACCCCTGGTTTAGTCTGTGGTGACTGGTGACTCCAACAGGCCAGCTCCCAAAGCTGATCCTCCTCTTTGGCCAACATTTTCTCAACTGGTGAATTCAGCACACAACCAGTAGGCGATTTGATGGGGGCGCCATAGTCAAAGACGCATCCCTCAGCCACACAAAGCCCTCTCTGCTACTAGCACAGGCCCATTACTCATGCTTCCAGCTACAAGCTTATCTCCGAGCTACTGTGTCCAGTTCAAGGACAAAGAGGCCCCGTCCCTTTCCCAAACATGTTCCATTGCTTCTCAATGTTCAATGACGCAACTGTTGGCATTGTCCTACTGGCATGGGGGGTTTTTTGTGCTGTGACAAATGACCTAACAACAAAGCAGTTGGAGATTTTGAGCAGAGCAGCACAGCTCCGATGCTTCAGAAGGGCATCTACGCTTGGGAGAGAGCTGGCTACAGTCGGCTCTTGGGTACACAGAGTACTAGCGTGTTCTGCACCAGAATCCTGCTTCAACGGGGCAGCCTGGAGCACAGACAAGAAGACCCTCTCTGGAATACAGCTGGAGATGTATCTACATGGCAAAAGTAGTGCCAGGCAGAGACTCCTAAGTTTGCTTGGGTGCTGGAAGCCATCTAGCCACTCGGTGCTTCACGTGGGTGAAGATTCTGCTTCTCAGTGTGGCAATTAGGCTTGGGTTAAGGGTAGTCTGCACTAAGCTAGCCAGTGCAGCAACTGCATTACCCCAGCTAGCTCTGCCTGCACGGCTTCTCTTTACAAGGTACCATGTCAACATGCCTTCATTCAAACCCCTGAAATACCCAGGAGCTTTCAGGCAATCCAGAAGATTCTCTGGACAGGGACTTGTCTGGGGGTAGCCT